CTTCCTATAGGGGAAATGTTCCCATGGATTTCAGTATATCTCTGCATTTAAGTAAGTTCCTTCTCCCTATATAAACAAGTGCTTTTCCAGCAAGTCCCTCTGCCTCTGCTGAAATAACAGGATTACTTTCAATTGTATTGACTGGGATCCAGGAATAATATGTTCTTGAGTTTTGTTCATCAGATATGTGATGTATTGAGTCACAGAATTCTGCTTCAGAGATTGCCATCAATCTGATTCCTTTCAGGAAAGGCAATCTAAAAATCTTCAGGGGGTTTTGAGGTTGTCATTGAAAACGTGCCACTTCTAAAAATGATAACTTCTTAGAAATTCTCCGCAGAAGAGATTTGTTAATTTTGTCATAGTCAATATTCCGAAAGCACAGCGAAATGTCTTGGCATTTCCAGATTTTTTGGTGAAGTTTTTTTATCATGGGGGCTCTTTTGCATTTGTTGGCAGCCACTGTGTGTGTTTGCACTGTTTGAACAGCCAGGTTCAATGCAGTGGTGCATCTTGTGTTTGGAAACTTGTGATTTTGGGGCTGCAGAGTTCTGCTTAGAACAGATACTGAGGATATTGAGCATCCAGTTACGCTGGCTGTAGGAAATTGTACTTCATTCATTGGTGTATAAATTTTAAGGACCAAACCAATAGGGCACATTACAAAAAAACAGAGCCCAATAAAACTATTAAAACCCAACAGAGCTATGTAGTTACTGCTAAAGTTTAAAGGTTCAGAATTTCCATTCTTTTTAGTAAGTTCCGTTAAAACTTCAAATAGTTTATTTTTTTCACTGTACTTCAGATCATTCTTTTGGCAGCAGCCTAATATTAGTATTGCATTATTTGTTTTAAAACAAACATTTTGAGATTTGAACTTCTAAGTTGGAAGGTAGCAAAGGAGAGAGAGTTAAAACCTTGTATACAGCCAGTTTATTGCTTTAAAATTATTGACTCAGCTGTTTTCTTTTGTGGAAGGTTTAGGAATTGTTCTAAGCAGCGTAAATCAAGCCCTTGGCTGATGATGAATGAATGGAGCCTGGTGTCCAAAGCACATTATGTGCTTCAAAGGGGGGGTTGTGTTGTTGTTTAGATTATTCTTCTCCTTATGTAAATCAGGATTTACAAAAGGATAGTAAGGAAAAGGACTCAAGAACTTGGAAAGGATCCATCTTGTTTATCAAGGCTTCTTCAGACTTTTTTCCTCTGGTAGCTACTAAATCTTAATTAAGTTTGTCTTCTGTAACACTTTGTCTCTCCTTTTAGCATCAGCCCCTTCATTCTCTCTTACCGTGTCAGGCAGCTCTGAGTTTGTAAATGCAAATGCATCACTGAAGTTCATTTGCATTGTTCTGGATTATTTACTGTATTTTAATTTCCAAGTCAGCATGAAGAAAGTTTTCTACACTTTTCCTATGTATAAGCAAGTATTTTTTGGTTTTCATCTGTACTTTTGTCTTCTGTTTGTAAACAACTTTCTTGTTTTAATCATCGATTAGCAGCAGTATTCTTCTCCCTTTCTTCCACTAGTGAACTGTAACAAACCCCTCGATTTTCCACTTAATGTAGTGTTGCTTTGTACACTGCATTTCATGTTTATGAAATGGATCTTTATTTATAAACAAACTGCAGTTCAATTGAGGTACAAGTAAGGAAAGTACTGGTGCCTGTTGCAGCAACATCTTTGGATTTTCTGCTGCACAATTGATTGTGCTACAAACTCAATTATGTTCTGAATCAGTGCATGACTGGTTTCTTGGTTGGCTCTAGGACTCAGGCGACTTCAGCTCCTCAGAAGTGCCATAAATAAAAACATACTTGAAATTATATACAATGATTGCTACTTACAGATGTGCATTGATTTGCTTGGGACTTTTCACAGTGGTTTTATTGAGGTATCCATTTTCTAGTTCTAGTAATGCTAGGTCTATGCTCTGGTGTTGGGTGAAATCCAGCTGCCCTGAAATCGATAGGATTTTTGGCTTTTGCCTTCTGGTAGGATCAGAATTTCACATGAGTATGTTCACAGTACCCAAATTACATGCTTAGCAAAGAATCTGGTAGTGCTAATTTTCTGTAACTGTAGATAACAATACAGCTAAACAACCGAAACTTGTTCATCCCTACAACTGGAACAAGTTAGTCTGTGCTCTTATGCAGTGCCTTTTTTAATTCTTTCCAAAGTCTACCAAACGCCACAAAAATGAGTCTTAATGTTAGTTGTCAAATGTTTCTCAGGCTGAGAGGGATTTGTTTCTTCACAATTGTATGTTGAGGGAGATGCGTGTAGCATTCAGAAATAGCTCAAAATTAAATTTGTAAGTAAGAATAACTTTAAAACTTACCAAGAAATAAAGTCTTCCAGCTGGTTTGCTTCTGTGGCAGATGGAAAATCCAGAGGCCAAATTGCTTTTGCTTCCTATATTACCCGATGGTGTGGAGTGTTAATCTGCAGCTGGAGCTGAAAACTGCTTTTGTCTTTCTCTGTTAGATCCAAGCTGTATTGAGGAATTGGGTTTCTCCATACGATAACCAAGCTAACTAATCAGTTTAAAAAAAAAAAGGAAAAAAAGTAATGCTCCAGTATGCGTTATTCCAGGAGAGAGAGAGAGATGTTTTTTGAAACTGCAGTGTTTAATTCTCACATGCAGAAGTGCTCTAAGCAGCCACAGCTGACCCAGATTCCATATACATCACTTTTGGACAGTGTTTTTTTAAACAAACACACACTCGGCTCAGCCGTTCAGCCCACCTATGATGTCACCGCGAGCACTCGGAGAGCAGAAGAAACTCCTCCTTCGGATTTCCTATCCATACCCTCCAGAAAAGGAGGGGGTAGGGAGGCTGAGAAGTTAGGAACAAGGAAAGATTGTTTGCCAGTAGAAGGGAGGTACCATATGGCAACGGACTGTGCAAGAGTTCAGCAGGCAATTACAAATCAAACATTTTTACTATGCTGCCTAAAGATGCCTTTCAAGTTATTACAGTACTGGGCTTCATTTAGAAGAAAGATTCTTTCAGGCTGATAAAACTCGATTTGTGTTGCTGGGAATAAAAGGGGCAGCCTGGCTGGATACAACAGGAAAAATGAAGCATTTGTAGTCTAGAAGAATGTTCAACAGAATGTCGCATTCAATTCTTGACGTTCACTTAATAAGAAACAGTTCCAGTTGTTAAAGGCATGAATTCTCCAATACATGTGGAAAACGTTAAAACTCTGTGTGTGATGGTTTTGGGTAGGTATCAGAATATTTGATAACATCTGACTGGTGTTAGAAGTAGCAAAAGCCACAGAGATTACGCTGTACAAGAAACACAGGATCTGGGATTGGTCTTGTCCATGCTCAGCCAGCACGTGAGGGCATTCAATTTCCTGCCATTGATCTTTCTGGTTTCTTCACAAGGGCTGTGCCAATTACATTTGAAAGAGAATTTCCCTTGTATGCTTTCAAAATTATTTTAGATTTCATAGAAATGCATCCAGTAGGTTTAGAGAACTGCTCTTTACAGAAGACTTGTTTTTGATTTAGCTAAAATAAGAGATCAGTACAAGTCATTCAGAGGTAATTTTACAAATATGGTGGTTTATAAAATCCTGCATAATAGTGCAGGTGCCTGTTACAGGGAATTTCCTTAAATATAGTTAATAAGTATGATTTACTTCCTTCTGTGGAAGATTGAGTGGGTTTGGGATTTTTAAGGCTTGTTAGGATATGGGTTAGTAAATTCAGATTCAGGACAGCTTATGCACTTTAGGTAGTGTAGCAATTAAATGCCACTACCTGATGTTTCTGATTATCCTTTCTGTTTTTTAGCAAACTGTTTCTAGCAGAACAGAAAATTGAGAGATTTAGTAGTATATCAGGTCATGTATAATACCTTTTTATTCACTTTTTTATATGTCACCTTTCAACCACAAGTATTTTAATTTGTTTCTGTGTGTGCGCACACACGTGTGTGTGTGTGTGTGTGTGTGTGTGTGTGTTGGTTTTGGAAGGATGCCCAGAGTTTCCCAGCTCACGTTTGAGGACTGTACTGGTTAGGTGCTATACAAACACAACTGCTGTTCTTGTGAGGTTGTATTAATAGTCTTCCACCTGTAAATCCAAAGTCCTTTTTATGACTTTGGTTGTACAAGGCTGAGAGGTGAAGTAAAATATAATTTAAAAATTTCCCTATTATGGAAACAAGTTTCTTAAATAATATTATTTAAGTTTGTGTTATTTTTTAAATTGGGATATCTGTGAAAGATGCAAGGCATGCAGGCCAATTCCTTTGAACAGCAGAGCTGGTCAGGATGTGCTTTGCTTAGTTGAGACAAACAGGCGAAGTTCAAGGAAGGGAGTTGTGGTTAGAAATAAAATAAACGTTTTATCTACAAGCATTAGTGTGTAAGGAGGAGGATTTTCCTCTCTACATGATCAAAGGATTGAAGGAGCAGTGCAGGGGAAGAAGGCAGGCAGGGGATGTGAAGTGACTTACCTAGAAAGCTGTTGGATCTTTGGAGCTGTGATTATTACAAACTGCAGGATTCATTCATTTCAGTCTGGTTGCCCATTTTCTCTAAGTTAATCTTTCCCATGTTGCTGAGCTTGAGTTTTTAATTTAACTTGAAGTGTTTTGGGTATAATTTATCCTTCTATTGTTTTTTAATTGCTGCTTTGGAGGAATGAAGTAGTAGACTTCCTAAACAATTAATTTTGATAGTGTATTTTAGTATTACGTGTTTAGTATGCTTCATATTTGTCAAGAGAGTAGTAAACTGGTGCTGTGGAGAAGATGAGGTTTATGAGTTGCTGTGCGTGTCCTTATAATTACTTTTAGATTTCTAAAATTATTTCCCAGGTAAATCCAAAATCCTATTCTGAGACAATGCTTTTGTCACCCTACTTTAATGTTATGCAAGCAAAAATTCTTCAGAATATTCTTGATGGCAGGGTTTTTTTCTGCTCAATGAAAGACATTAAACAAAGAAACTTCTCATTCTAATCTCATTTCAGGTATTTATCTGTCAGACTTGACCTATATTGACTCTGCCTACCCCTCAACAGCAAGCATTCTGGAAAGTGAGCAAAGAACAAATTTAATGAACAATATTCTTCGAATTATCTCAGATTTGCAGCAGTCGTGTGAATATGGTAAGCTAGTGTGTAAATATCACAGTGTTAAAGAGGAGAACTTAAAAAGCTTTAATTTTTGTCTGCTGTGATGCAATTTAAGTAAGGCTGAACCCATGTGAATGCCATTAACACCCTCACTCATCCTCTCTGCCCAAAAGTCTACTTTAGTCTAGTATTGTTGCTTAAGACAATCACCCATCAAGGTGAGGAGACAGAACAAAATTGCCTTTCTCCTACATTGAGCAAACTGCAGTATATATTTTCTGATGATAAATGTGTAGTAGTACATCATACTCAAGAGTAATTTTACTGGTATTTATAAGCTTGTATCCCTGTGTTCATAATTTTATCACTGGATTCTAAAAATAGGATTTCTTTTGCAATAGTACTTTTACTGGAGATAATAAAATACACTCAGCTTGTCTTTTGGACATTTATAGTTCTGTCCATAGATCAGATAATGTATTTTTTTCTTCAAAGATGGTTTCCCTCACAGTCCTCTTCCCATTCTAGTAAAGTCCTAATGCTGTGGTTGTGATGGTGGAATATGAATTAGCACAGGATTGTGGCTTCCCTGATAGCTCAGTGTAAAGAGAATGAATGTGGCTGTCCTCAGACTCCAGTTCTGGGCCTTTGGTTTGGTCAAGGATCTTGTCTTACTGTTCCCTTACGTGTGCTCTGATGGGCAGCTCTGGGGTTTGTGTGTCTGGCGAGTGTCAGCTCAATGCATGAGAATTTCTGTGAAGTTCTAAAATTTCAGTATCATTAGGGCCTGTAGTTTGTACCTCCATCTTACATAAAAAGGCAAGAGATCTGAATCTGTTGAAATAGTTTCTGGGAAAAAACCTTTGCTTACCAGTGAGTGGCACAGTGTCAATGAATGCTGTCTGTTTTCCAGATATTCCTATGTTGCCTCATGTCCAAAAATATCTCAACTCAGTTCAGTACATAGAAGAACTGCAGAAGTTTGTAGAAGATGACAATTACAAGTAAGTACAAAATGCTGTAAACTGACCATAACTTAGTACAAAATTACTTCTGTAACTCAAAGCCTGTCACTTGTGAGATTGAACTTGCATTGGGGAATTGTATTATATTATATGGGTGTCCCTGCCCATGGCAGGGAGTTGGAATTAGATGAGATTTAGGGTTCCTTCTGACCCACACCATTCTGTGATTGTATGATGATGTACCTCAGACACAGCAGCTGTGAGCAGCTGTGATTCCAACAGGATGTTGTGCTTGAGGCACTTTCCCACAAGCTGAATGGCAGAGCTGCTCCCTTTTCTGTGCCAGACTGCGCCAAGCCCTTTCTTCAGGTGGGTTTGGTCTGCTGAGAAAGACTTTATACACGTGGCTCACCTGCAACACTGTTCTGTCATTAAGAGGAATCCTGAGGTTGGAAATGGCTTAAGTCATTCTTCATCAGAACAAAACCATCTGTGCATCCATTCCCAGGTTTTTACTGAGGGTGACTTACAGCTTTCACATGCAGATAATGCTTCATTTTATATTTTCCTCTTTGATTAGGTTATAAAGTGTGAGTAAAACGTAAGCACTTGATTTTTGAGAGGCAACTTCCTGTTCCTCTCTGCCTGTTCCTCCCAGCCTCCCACCCAAGCTTTCTACGTCCTTAATTAAAAGATTATTACTGTAATGAGTGATTTGGCAACCAGCAAAACTGGGGGAGGGAAATCTCTGGCAAGAGACAGGAACTGAGGATAGGAAACACCCTAAGGCAAATCTGTTGCCTATGAAGGAGGGTTTTGTTCATTGGCTGATGTGCTCGAGGAGGTTCCCCACCCATTCCCATCCTGCCCGCCCGGGAAGTTTGTCACCTCAGAAGGTTTGAATTGGTTGCTTGTGCAGCTCCCTTGGAATGGCAGGAGGGGGATGCTCACTTTAGGAACAGCTGTGCTTTGCCATTTAATAGCCCTGACTTGGATTTACTGCAAGGCAGCAAATGGGGACCCTTCAGTTTATGTCAGAGAAAGTTAACGAGGACTCACACCTGTGGCTTCTGTTCTGAGCTTTGTAAGTTGTTCTCTGTGTGTCCCTGTGGAAGCATCCAGCTTCACCTTTTTCCTGGGATGTTCTACAGCCTGATTTGGGAAGTGTCACTTGTCTATCACTGAGAGTAAAGCTCTGTGGTCAAACATTTGAAGGAAGGAAAAAAAAAAAGGGCAAAAAAAAAGTTAACCCAAACCCAAGCTTCTTACCTACAGTGTCTCCTTAGGACACTGTATTAATGAATTCCACTCTCAACCTTCCTTCACCTTCACTGGGTAGGACTGACTAGCAGGGGGAATTTGATTGATGAAGGAGCTGCTGTCTCTTCATCCTGTACAATCCATGTTTTGGTAGCAGGGCAATGACTGGAGACAATGGCACATCAATCAGAAGCATGGCTGCCGTTCACAACGTCTGGTTTTGCACTGATGGGTTTTGTACATCTCCAGACTAAATGTTTTTATGGTCGAGGAGTGTATTTGAAGAATTGTTGTTACTTAAAGTGGCACTTCTACTTTTCATCCCCTAAGGTGTCTATCAGCAAAAAGGTTGAAGTTAGAGAACAGCAACTGTGACTTGAATACATGTCATTTGAAAAAATTAAATTATAAAATTTTAATGAATCCTTGCAATACTGTCTGGAATGGGAGGGAGAGGATCTCTCAAACTTTAAACTTTTGCTCCCCAAAATTAAATAGATGCTTTTTCAGTGTTAGTAGTTTCAAAAATTTTAGTTCTGCAAACTGTGCGGACAAGATACACTTAATCTTCCTGGAGTTATCTGCCCCTATAATCTGCCTTCTTTGTGGGCCTGATGGAAATGGCATTAAAAACTTACAGAAAAGGCTTGAATTATGGCTGAAATCAAGTTGATAATGTATTTTCCAAAACACAGAAGAGGATTTTGGCTTTTGAACCAGTAAAGACAAAAGACTTGGTGCTCGGCACACTAGTGCACTTCATAAAAAATTTAAAATATGAAGTGTTCCAAGAATAAATATTTTAGCCAAGGTGGGGGGGGAAGTTGTGTATTATTTTCAATTTTATCTTTCCCAGATTTTAGCTGGAGTAGCAGTTTTGTCTGTGTGCCAGCCTTCCCAGGGCACTGGAGGTCCTGGTGGTCTGTGTGAACCAAAGCAATAGGCAGGAAAAATCAAGTTTGGAAATAGCGTGTGCTAAAGATAACTCTGCACTGTTTGTATTACCTTCATAGTATTCCATGCAATCACAGAATCAGGCAGCTTACAATCATAAATTTTAAAAATTCTTTTTCATAAGCTTATATTTTTATTTCCTGATAAGTAATTTTTAATGTTTCTTTAATGCAGACTTTCATTAAAGATAGAACCAGGGACCAGCACGCCCCACTCTGCTGCTTCCAGAGAAGATTTAGTAGGTAAATGCTTAATAAATGTGAGAAGACTTGAGGTTGTCATGTGCATTATTTTAGAATTGCAGACGTGGAAAATATTTGCCTGAGGCTATAAAGAAGTGTGAAGTTTAAACACTGCATGTTTGTAATAAAATGTCTAAAGGTGATCTGTAAAGAGGGAATTGAGTAATTTTTTTAGGTTCTTGTATGTATTGTGGCACTAAGTTGTTCATGTCATTTGGGGTGAAGACTTATTAAATATTCATTCTTTGTTGTGTCTAGACAGAAGGGCCTTCATCTAAACTTTTCATGGCATCATATGCTTCCAAAAATGAACATTCTTCTTGGTCAGTGCCAAAAGTGGTTGAAGGCAGGGGTTTAAAAATGTAGAATCAGTGGGACATGCCCAGTGCTGGTATAGTAAATGCAGCCACCTTTAGGACTCGCAAAATACTTCTACTGGATGGTTTGTTTGAAGTAAGTGTGTTTGGTTTTGATCCTGTGCAAAAGCCCTGAAGTGCAGGGGGTTTAATTATCAGTAGATCAATGAGTTTTACTGAAGCTATCTCTTATACAGGGAGTTTAGAAAGTTTTGTGCAATTTTTCCATGATTTTCTGATAAGTGACCCTGACAGTAATTCTGAAATTACTTGGGAATAATGTCTTTTTTCTTCCCAGGCTCTGAAGTTGGAGCATCTCCACAAAGTGGAAGGAAAACTGTTGCGGCTGAAGGAGCCTTGCTACCACCAACACCCCCTTCACCTCGGAACCTGATACCCCATGGACATAGGAAATGTCACAGCCTGGGATACAAGTCAGCATTTTGCTTAACCTAAAAATCCTGAGCTTTTTTTTTTTTTTTTTGAAGTGATGTATTTTGTTTTCAATACAAAAGCTTTGCTTTTAAAAAGCAGCAGGACTTGTACACAGTACTTTGCTCACAGAGCAATTTCTGGCCAGGTAGCAAGCTCAGAACTATAATGCTGATATCCCAACCAAAGAGAATGAATTAAAATAGCAAGGCTGAAGTTTTGGTGATTAGATTAGTCAGTGAGTTAACCAGAATAACTCTTTCTGAATGGCAAAACTATCACTTTTTAGTAACTCAATGCCACTGTAATTATTTCAAATTCAAAATTTTATCACTGCTTGATTGGTATTTTTACAGGGAGACTCCTTTATGGACTTTCTTTGTAGACTAACTCTGTTTAGTAATGGCTTCAGGCTTTTTCCATCTAAGTGTACTTCTAATAATACCTTGATCATTATCTCATAATTTCCCTTGTCATGTCTTCAAAATGCAACATTGTAGCTACTCAGTAATGAATAACCTCTATTTTTTAAGTTTACCTTTAATGAGCTAGAATGCAATGGTCCAGTTCACTTATGTGTTATAGAAGATAAAAGTAGCAGAAGATATTGAAAGTAATTGTTAATGTACTCCTGACTTCATCTTTGTTACACGAGTTCTGTGCAGTTTTAAAACTGGCAATTCCTACCAGTAATTCAGGTAAATTAATTTATTAATTTATTTAATAAATTAATTTATTTAATAAATTACCAATTTGTGCACAATTGCTTATGGCTTGGCCATGATTTAGTTTGGCTTTAGGAGCACGCTGCACACAATCCTTCAGGATGTTAAAGCAACTCTTGGGACGTCCCAAAGGCGAGGTTGTAACGTTGCGTCCTCGTTGGTTTCCAGTTTCATACACAAAATGAACACGGCGGAATTTAAAAGCGCGACATTCCCCAACGCGGGACCGCGGCACCTGCTGGATGACAGCGTCATGGAGCCCCACGTCCCCTCCCGAGGGCAGGCTGAGAGCTCCACCCTGTCCAGTGGAATTTCAATAGGTAGGAGCTGCAGACACACCCATGCACTGCCTGGGCTTTTAATAAAGGTTTTAGCACAAGTGGCTGGTCACTGAGCCTGCAGCAGTGCTGTTCCAAATTACTGCTTCTGCTGTCGAACAAACCTGAGAAACGTAGGGGAAGGAGGGTGGCTTCATTTACACACCATCAACTGAGAAATTATGAAAACATTTTTGTTTTGGTTTGTTCTTGTTGTTTGGGGTTTTTTGGTTGGTTGGTTGGTTGGGTTTTTTTTTTCTTTATCCCTGCTAGTGATAACAGCTTCTGATACTCCTCTTCCTCAATGGAGTTGGAAGGAAGTATGGGACATGATTTTCTATTATCTTTTTCCCCCCTAAATCAATTCAAGTTTTATAGTGGGATTTCTATTTAAAATTCCATATTGACTTGACAGTGTAAATCACTGACAGTTTTAAGAGCATAATTTCAAAATGCTTTTGACTTCGACAGCAGATAGAAATCTAACTTTGAAATACCTCAAAATGTCAGAATCTACTAAATTTTGATAAATTATTTATCTTCATATATTTAGGGTGGTGCTTTTTTTGAGAAGTTCTGCTTCCTGGGTTTCCTCTGTGAGAAGAGGTGCTCTTTCTTCCTGTTGCACATAGATCTTTTAGGTGGAGGGAGGACAGGACACAAGTGCCTCTCACCTGTTTGCAGCTGGGGCTGACAAATGGAACCTCTCACTGCAGTCCTTTTTCTCAGAATTATTTGTTTGATAGAATTCAATGGTGTTACATTTTCATGCATTTATGATGATGAAAGATCCTTGTAGTGCTTCACATTTCTGTGGATAACTAAATTTTAAAAGCAGTTTTGCTTTGTAGCCTTCATGGAAGGAAACAAGGTCACAGATTGTCAGATGATGCTGCTTTCAGGAGCTGTACATTTTCTTGAGGAGAAAGCCATATGGAATTAGACCAAGTAGCTAGTCCAAGTGAACCTGTTCACATCAGGCAACTTCCACTGTTTAATGTGCATTGCCTGTCTCTGTTCCCTTCAGGTTCTCTGCTGTGGCAAAGTTTTCCATTTCAAAGCCATCCATCAGAAATGGTGCTTCTCCTCAGCATCCAGGCAGCTTCCATTCCCAGGGTCTCCTGCACCATGCAAAGAGAGGGTGTTTGCATGGTGCAGGAGACCCAAACATTTGTCACCATTGCTGAAATGTGGCATTGCCCTTTTCTCAGGGCAGTGTTTTATGGATGTTTTCTATCTAAATACCTAAGAAATTCTCTGCAGTCAATCCTTTTTTTTTCCTGGGTAAATTATTTCTCTACTTCCACTACAGCCTAGCAGGGAAGGTTTGCCAGAGCTCACAGACAGTTTTTCATAAGGTACAATTGAGGCCCAGTCACCATTTTCACGTTTTGGAGAATACAGGATTTTCCTACTTTGTCTCCTCTCTGAATTTTTCAATTCTGCTCACTAGCTCAAGCATGACCTGACAAGCTGGAAGAAAATTGCCACTTTAGACGACTTGTATAAATTACTTGTAAAACAGCAAACTTGGGCATTTTGTGCAAGATCAGCATTTGCTGTTAGAAATTCCCCTCTCCCATTCTCTTTCATCTCCAGCCTCCCATACTCAGTTTTATCACTGTTTTGACAGTCCAGCAGTGGTGTTGTTTTTGCTGCTCCTTTATGATGAAAATTTCAATGACAGAAAAGTTTGTTAGAGGTGCTAGAAATATGTATGGAAGAAGAGGGTAGGTTCTGAAGGTTTGCAGTATCTGTTACTGCAGAATTCTTGGAAATGTAAGTTGTCTGGCATTCTGTGCTGCTGCCTCAGCAGGATTTAAGGAAGTTGATTGAAGCTGCTGAGTTCCTCCATCATGTTTGAAGTAGTCTGTTTACTCAGGACTTGGAATTAGTACAGTCACTGCAGCAGAGAGGAGGTTTATGGTATTCTACAACACAGCTTCAAAAGACGGTCAGGAAAATGTCTCCTGAATGTGTGTACTGAAAGGAGTGTTATTCCTCACCTTGCCCATAAACGTGGATTTAAACCTGTTGCTCTAGAAACAGGACTACCTTTTTTACATATAAGCCTATATAGGACTTTACTTTTTGGGTAAATGATCCTTCTTCAAAACATGGACAGAGTTTCTGCTATGTCAGCACCTTGAATGTGCCTTTAAAGACAACTGTAATGCTGCTTTAAATCACTCCTGTGTTTTGGGGGCTCAGAAGTGTTTAGACCTTTCCAGACCTTTCATATTGGAGGATCTGATAGGATCTGCCTCTGTTAAATATCAAAACACCACCAATGTAACAGCACTGTCCACAGGAATCCATCAGCAAGTTTGTAACCTAAAGCACACATGGAAGTGGTGATGGACATTTTGGTTATGCCCTGCTGGGAAAGGCTGACAGTCCACTCTGGGAATGGTGCAGAGCATGCTACAGTTTTTACATCCATGTCATTAACTTTTCACAGATGAAGAATATACTAACTGGGCGTTTTTCATTGCAATGAATGATTCCTAAAGCAGCAGCAATGCAGAAAGTGAGACGGGCATGGGGTTTGCTCAAAACAGGATGATCTGTGATGTGACAGCCAAGGTCAGAGTCCTTTATCAGATTAGTTTCTCAATTTCAGCTATTGGAGGGTGAGTGTGTACATTCAACTCATTCTGAAAACAAACAAACTCAAAAATATTAAAGATACAGCCTCTTTTATACTGATTTCTTGTGCTTGGGTCAAAACAGTTCTTGTTCCTAGAGCTGTGGGAAGGTGTTCCATAGCTGATGGTCATGTGTTATGCTGGAATCAGGGAGCTGTACCTCTGGTTCTGTTGCCATCCTCCTATATTATAAATAGGTGCTTGTTATCTGGACAGAAGATTTTAAAAAGTGAGAAATCTTTTCCCAGCAGTGCCAGGGCTGTCCTAATAAGAATGAAGAAACACTTGTCCAGTCACATATACAGTGTCAGATGGGAAATATTCTCTTGAATTCAGGAGTGTTACAAGAGGAAATAGTCTCATAAGTTTTAAGCATTTATAAAGTAGATGGCTGCATTTGAGCTGGTTACAATTGGAGCCCTTTATAATCACATAGAGAATTGAAATCCTCAAGGGTATGATTAATCTCATTTTTAGGTGGGTGGCTAAAAAGAGGTTATATGGCTTGAGTCCTTAAAGCCCCACTTTATTTCTGTTGATTTCAGACACTTCTGAGAGACAGCACAAGCAAATACAGACAGATGACTAGTGCTGAAAATGTTTTGTGCAGACAGTCCAGAATATGTGCTTTCAGTAAATAGGGACAGATGCTTTTACTTTGCAGTGCAAGTTCATTGAGAACCCCCACTCACTGCTATCAGCCAGGCCTAAAGCTACAAGGTGGTTTTGTTCTTGGAGGGCTGTGTTTGGATGAGGTCACTGTTTTGGTGAGGTCACTGTGTACACTCTGCCCTCCTGAGGTGTGAGCATTGCTCTTGGCTGGCTTCAAGGAACCACCTGCACACTTGTACCACCTGTTCTCATGCCTGTATTTGCCTCCTGTCACCTCCTCACCTAAAAGTAGGATAAATTAAGATGATTTTATTAGATCCTGGTTCCACTCAAAAATAGCATGAAATTCCTTTAATTCATAAGATATTTTCCTAAAGAATACATGGTTCTCTATTAATTCCCAATTTTCTTACATTTTCAAAGTATTTATTGCTTAAGTGTGCTCTTAAGTATCTTTGCAGGAATGTTCAGCTTGTTTCGTTAATGTTCTCAGCAGCTTTGGATTTCCACCATTTCTTTCCACCAATTTGGCTCTGCTGCATTACTGAATTTCTTAAGCTGAGTTTGTTTAAAATGGCAAATTGTTCAGATAGGAACAGTAAAGGGAGCTGTGTAAAATAGGCCCTTCTCTTCACACATTACTTCTATGTGGCTTTTCTCCTCTTAGAGCATCTAACCTAGAGGATGCAAAGTCGTTTTACTAAGGAAGTTACTCTTTGAGAGTGCTGTCTCATGCATACCACTTCAAAAACAGATGTCAAGGTATGAACACAGAAACACTGCTGAAATTGAGATTGTAACTTGAGGTGTTTAAAAATTCAAAAGACACAATTATGGGTTGTGTTTGTAGCAGTGTTGGATTCAAGTTCTTTTTAAGCTATTTTTTCCACTTATTTTTCCTGATCTACAATAATATGGATGAAAGCTCTGGAAAAACTAAAGCTCTTGAACATTTGCCCTTGTTTGTGTGTTGCCATCACTGGAAAATAACTTCAGCCTTTGTTCTAATGCAATTGGAGCAATTAATGCTGCAGAGTCAAAGAAAGGTATTCTAAATCAGTGTGAATTAATGTAAGAAAGTGCCTTTGTAAGAACAGTACATTTCCAAACCTAAACTGGCATGAAATACATATGAGAAAGCAGCATTTCAATGAATTCCTCTATTAAGTCACCACCTCGAAGTTATTGAATTCTACGAGGGATTATATTTCTCTTTAAATAAATGAAGTATAGGTGTAGGTATACAGTGTATGCATTTACTTTCAGGGGTCTTGGCAGCCTGTAGAGTAGGGAAGACCTTTACACAGCCAGTGTTTGTTTGATTCTTTAACCTGTGCTGTGCTGTTCAGGTGTGTAGGACTGAGTCATCAGATCAGATTTCAGGTAGGGTTTCAGGCAGAAGAAATATGTCAGGTTTATTTATATATTTCCTTTATATGAGTTATATGGGTGCCTATCTCTTGCCTTAAATATGGATACCCAGTGTTGCTATTGTGAACTCTGCTTCTTTAGTGATAGGATAAATTTAAAAACTGTATAATACTAGGGGTTAAAAATGCACATGTAGGTGCCTGGATTTGAGAGGAGAAGATCCAGTCTGGCACTCCAGTTCTGCCCCAGTCTTTCTTGGTACTGCTTGGTCCAAGGCTCACACTCTGGATGTGTTTAAATCAAGGTAGTTGTACAAACCCCCTGTTTCTGCCCCATCTTTATCCATTTGGTTATTTGCTTTTGCTGATTTTTTACAATGAAACTCCGTGATGGTATTAAAAGTTTCTATCAGCTCTCTGGCATGATATTGCCAGAGTTCCTGCCATCTGTATTTGGTGAGCTGGGGAGCCAGAGCTGAGTTGCTTAAACTTAAATAGTCATGAACTATATATGAGGGTTTGCAATGTGGTTTGAACTCACCAAAGCAGAGCAGAGCTTTCAGGGCATGGAGCCCATCTCTGTGGTGCTGGCTGGGCTGGGCTGTGCCTCTTGACCAGTTCTGTGTGTTTTCATGGTAGAATTTCAAGCTCGGTCGGGTCCGTCCCCAGCTCTGGAAACGCAGTGTAACCGGAGCCAAGAGAGTGTCGATGACAGATTTGGGAAGGGGAAAGAATTTTTAGTCTGAAGACTTTTTAAACTCTTTGGGGTTGGTTTGTTTATATTAACACCTGTTTAACTTTGGGGACTAACTTCTGGATAAAGAAAGCCTGTGTTAAGTGTTCAGTACCCCCAGACCTGGGGCAGTGAGTGGGTGCCGTGACCAGGGGAGTGGATGTGGGATAGCACAAGCATTCCCTATCCCTTAACTGGGAACCTCATGCTGTTTGTGTGCCTGGAGCACAGACATCCATCTGCATGTGCACATCTGCAGATGTGAGCAGAAAATTCACATCTGAACAGAGCTGCAGTGCCGAGGCTCTGCAGACAATCCTGAGCCTCTTCAGATAATCACCAGCACAGTTAGCAAAAAAGCCATCTTACCAAATGCTGTTATTCCTAAGACAGGGAAAAAACCTTCATAAAGATTGTATTTTGTTTCAATCCTGCACCATAAATTTATTAGCAATGAAGAAAACTAGGAAGATAGTGTTTTGTGCTTAGTGGCTTCTTACATAAAGCCACTAAACACAAAAAAATTGTTTAGAACATTAACAGAACGGGCTTATACTACCTAGGATTTGTTATTAAGTTTAACCTGAAGAGCTTGCTTGAGGTTGTTGGAAAAACTCAAATATTGAGTACATACTTGAGAAGAATTTAAGAAGGTGATATATTTTTAGAGTACTGAATGAATGAAATATTTCCAGTTGAGGTGACACTCAAATAGTGCACTTAATGTTTAAACAGAACTTGGCTAGACATCTAACTTTTATTAAGTTAAAACCAGTCCCTTTTACCTCTGTTTTGTTTTGGAAGGAGGGATGTCAGGTATTTTGTTTTGCTTTTCAGGAAAGGGGTGTTTTTTAGTATCAGAACTTGTGTCTTGCAAAGTATCTCCTAGAGAGTTTTAGAATCTAAAAAATCCTTTTGGAGATGTTTTTATATGGATGTTAGAGGAATAGTCAAACACTAAAATTCAACCTTTTCCAGGTTTTTGTTACAAGTTTTACAACTCCTGTAGGCATCAGTGTAAATGTTAAATCAATTGCTATGATGTTTTGTGCAACTTTTTAAAAATTGATGTTTCTTTTAAGTGTAATTGGTAATTTCTGTATAGATTTAACTTTCTAAGTGAAACTTTGGGTTCACAAAGCCCCCCAAATTCCTATAGGTTTCCTCACTGTACTGGTACTGTACCAAGGATTGTCACTTTGTGATAGGTGACATTTTAGCTCTTGATCTAGATTGCTTTGTATTTTTACAAAGTAACACTAGCTTTTAAATCTTTCTGTAGTGTACTTAGCACAGCAGTTGAATATAACTTTGTTAGCAAGGCTGATACAGTTGCCATCAAAATGTCATTTCAGGTAGAATTTTAATGTATCAGCCTACTTTAAATGCAAACAATAACTTCATAATACTGTCTTATTAGGGATCTTAATTGTGTGGATCTATCACATGGGCCTAAATTAAGTAGAGCTCTAGTCATATTAAATCTGTGCTTCTAGCTAATATAAAGCTAAATCTAAGCAATAGTAAGAAAATAAATGCGATTCTAGGTTTCCCTAATGCTTTCAGTGCTGGCTGAATGACTTGACAGAAATTGCTGCACCATTTTGCAGGACAGATTGCTCCAGGTAACCACAAAGAAAACTTCAATTATATGCAAGGAAAACTATTTTCATGTTGGGGTTGAACTGTACCATCCTAATTGTCGTTCCAACTGCTAAAAGGATTTCAGCACCTTAAGGTCTTGCTGTAGGAGATTCTACCACAAAGAGCCTTCTTCAAAGACAGTCATCTGGGAGATCTTACCCAAAATGTTTGCCTAAAGTTGTCTCTGAATTGTTACATCTGATTCTCTCTCCTCATCCCCAAACCATGCTTATAAATTAGAAGAGGCTTCATGTATTGCCTTACAGGGAATGTAAGGCAGCTGTGGTTTCATTAGGATGGAGTAAATCACTGAGCTTTTCACTGTGGCGTGGATTGTAGAATTTGCTGGAAGTATTGAGTGACAGTTGTTTCTTCCAGGAAATGGTAAGGACTTTGCAAAGACTCCTTCTGTAACAGCAGCCTCCACCTGGATAGGTTACTCCACTGGTTACTCCTTTTTTTTCTTGGGATAGTTCATTATTTACCTGGTAGTCTTTCTGTATAGAAGTCCCTGGAATAATGTCGAGCTCAACTCACACATTCTCTTTTCCACGTTGCCAGGGCAGTTGGAAATTGTGCTGAGCAGAACTTCTGCTTATTTTTATGACCACTTCTTAGCTCACCTGCCCTGTGGCACCTGGATGTTTGCTGATAGATTCAGTCTGAGAGTGTCACTTGAAGTGCAAGCACTTACTCAGCCGTAGCAAATGGGTCTCTTTGGTCACTTGTCCCCACAGCTCAGAGGAAGTGTAAGTCACAGCAGGAGTAGCTGTGCTACTCTTCTGTGCTCAGAGCTGGCTGCTTAAGGATCAGTGATCTGCAAATGGAAGCACTAAAAACTTAAAGGCACTTCTAGAAAGTAATGCAATGCAAATGTTGAATGATTTACCTCCCTGCTTGCTGCCCTTTTTGCCTCCTCTGGAAGAAGTGGAAGGTGCAATATTCACCTTCCCACAGCTGAGTAAGATGCACAAGTTACCTGTTGAATATTTTACCTCCCTGCTTGCAGCCCTTTGTGCCTCCTCTGGAACATCACTTCTTATTTCATAGCTCCTTCCACTATACAAATGGCTCTTACTGTAGTGTTGGTGTGAACCAGGTTAGGACTTTCCTTTAGGAAAAATTCAGAATAAGCTGAGACCAAATGATCTAGTATCCCACAGAGATGGTGTTAATACGTGGATGTTGAGCTAATGTTTGCAGAAGAGGCATCTCAGTTGAATTGGCTGGCAGATAAAGGCTTGTATTTTTTCTCAAATTTTGCACAGAGGAAACTTCAGCCCATGCTGAGATTTTCATGGCTCTTGGCTGGAATTACACCCGCTGTGTGTAAATCTTTATTGCCTCCATCTTTACTCCTTGTTTACTCAGTGAATATCCAGACCTACTTTGTACACATGACTTTTCAAGGCACTGCTTTTCCCTGCTGATTTTCTGTTTAAAATTACAGGGAACTGGTTCCCATTTTCAGCCTCTGTTTCTCTGAGGGAACTCTTGAGTAAGGAGCGTTGATTCAGATTTTTTGTTTGTTTGTTTTCTTGTTTGTTTCAAAATAATTGTATTATTTTATTGCTTCCCTTATATATGGGTGTTCAGGCAGCAGAGCAAGCAAGGTGACAAGTTCGTGTGCTGAAAGGTGACTTCAAGCATTGACTGACATTGAAATGCACTGGTATTTAGGCTTTGGGATTATCTGGAGCCAGAAATGTTGGTTTGAAGTGGTGAAGAAGGATAATAGCTCCTGTGGGCAGCTGGGGTGTCCTGAAAGGTGCAGAGCAGCAAGGCAACAGCTTGGAATTATGTATAGAAGCTACTGATTCCTGTTAACAGCATCCCTACTGATAATTATTTGCTGATTTTTAACATTAGAGCTAACACCCACCTTGTATCTGTATTTAAATGCTCATTTTCAGGCTGATGGGATTTAGTGGAATTGTAAAGTTACTGTCTTATTTATGGGACTGCCACAAGTGGATCCATCAGACTTTTGAGTTTTGGGATTTTCCTCTATTTTCAGTGTTTAAAATAAAGTGTGGATTAGTTTATAAAGCACAGAAGGAAATAATACTGTTGTGAGCTGATAGAGTAAGTGTGAGATAGCTTTAAAAATTGTTTAAGACTTCTCAAATCATGTACTGGAGATTCAGCAATGAATTTGCACCTCTGTGTCATGACTGTTGTGACTTGAAAAGAAATTATTTAAATAAGTGACCTGTTTTTCTAAATGCAGACAAATCTGTGTTTAGGGTGTTCTTTATATTTTGAAAATAAGGTTCCCATTTATTAGTGTTCCTTTTCTTCAACTTCTTTATGTGGAACGAGTCCCCGTCCCTTCAATCTCCATCTCAGTTTATGTGAAATTGCTGAAGCAAATCACAAAGTGTTTTCCTTGTAGTATTTTACTGAAGTACTTTTTTGCATTTCATCTTAAATATTCTGATATTCAGAATCTGAAATATTCTGATTTGTTTACATACAATTGACAGAGATGGTTTGTAGATGAAGAACTAATGTATCATCTGTTGTTATATTTCTCTAGGTAGCAGTGATGGTTCTGAACTCAGTGAAGAGACTTCCTGGCCAGCATTTGAAAGGTAAGAAAAACCTGTGTTTCTCTGTGTACATTGTTACTTAGAGTCTCTCACTTGGTCCTGAAAATGCTTTTTTTCACTGAACTAGAGATCTTCTGCCTGTAAGAGCACTAAAAGCTGTAGTAAGTTCACTGGATCTGTTAAAGCAGCATAGAAACACCTTCTGCTCACTAATGGTTAATAGGGCTTTTATCTAATTGGGTGCTTACTCAGTGCACACATCCTTGAAGGAGCTCCGAGAACCATTAGACCCCAAAGGTTTTATATATGTGGATATCACATGTGCTGTTTGTGTTTGTCTGATTCTCATTTTCACTTTCCCTGAGACACTTCATCTGTTCACAGTCCCTTTACTCTCTTGTCATTGACACTGTCACCTCTTTTGTGTCTCTCATCCTCTTTTCACTGTTACACAACAATTACCTTTGCTAATGTCTGACTTTGTGGTCCAGAATTAACAAGTTGTTCCTTTTCCAGCACCTGTGAGTGCTCAGGTGGCATTGTCCACTTCAGCCCATTCTCATGTTGTATTTGAGAATGTGGAAAAAGACAAACAGCTGTAGTTGAACACAGGAAAAGGTGCAATATTCACCTTCCCACAGCTGAGTAAGATGCACAATACAGTGCATTGCTTGCTTCTATAACACAGTTTCAGGTGATCCATCAGCTTCAGAGTTGCCATGGATGACTTTTTCTACCATGCTTTTACATTGTTCATAGGAATTTTTGTCAAAAAACTTTGTCTTTTTAGTTGGAAGCTGTTACCACAAAGATATTCTGATTTAACTCATTGAAGCAGTTAAAGTTCTGTGTTAAATTTTGGAAGAAGTCTTTGAAAATCTCTCTGTGCCAAAGGTGAACTCCTGGATGCCTCATGCCTTAAATATGAATGCATACATGAGGAAAAGCCCTTAACAATTTAATCAGGTAACATTCCACATGAGCAGAGAACACAAATGGGGTCAGAAAGGCAATCTCTTAACTTGCAGGCTGCATCACAAAGCACATACAACATTCAAAAGGTTTTCTTTCTTTCCTTTCCCTGCTGCCTTATGGAATTGGGTATTGGTATCAAGTTGTTTCTCAAAGACAAAAAGTCATTAAATTAGAAAAAATGGTGTTGTTACCCAGAGCAGCATAAGAAACATTAAGATTTAGGTTTAAACTTATGATAACATTCTTCAGAATTGTTGTGTGGAGGCAAAGCAGAGGCTTTTCATGTCTGTGCTAATGAGAACTGGCAGCCCCAGGCTCCCCCAGTTCAAGTGTTTGCTCCATGTCAAACAGAAGATTCCTCCTCCAAATTCCACTTGCCTTCTGCACTTGCCTCTCTCCTGAGAGAGCTTTTGGGACCCTGTTGGAGGTTTCTTGTGTTTCAGGTGAGTTCTCTTGCCTGCTTCCAGGGAGAGGGATATGATTCCTTACAGACATTCCCAACACCACATGTGAAATTCCTAGAGATCTGCAGCAACCTTGAGTCTGTTCCTTGCTTTATAAGATGATGAAGCATGTTTTAAAATTTCATATGTAATGCACTGACATGCAAGTGTCAAAATTTAAGATAACTAGAGAATGTCTCTCTCTGGTTTTGGTCTGTACTGTAAAGCACAGTGGTTTCAATTCTTTATAAAGATGTTTAAGTGAAGGAAAGGCATTAGTTGCCTAGAATTAACAACTCTGGCAAAACTGGGATACATTCAGTGTTAATAATTGTTTTCTGTGCAGTGCAAGTAGGAATTCAGTATTTCTGTGTGTTTTACACACAGAAAGGGTAAAAAGGCTTAAACCTGCATCATATCCCTTAAGAGGAAGAAAACAATTCCTCCAAACACAGATTCTCCAAGTAACAGAAGGAAATGTAAAATGTATTCTTGTTTTTCCTGGCCTTTCTGCCTGTGGCTGGGGAATGCAGAAGAGGTGAGAGCTAGAGCCACTGGTTGTTTTTAAGTGCAACAGAATCTTAGTTTGAAACTTGAGAAAGAGTTTTCAGCATTGGAGTGTCCCTTCAGGACAATCAAAATTACTGGAAGGACTAAAATTTAAAGTCCTTACAGTTATATCCTGTTAAGGGCAGTGTATTAAGTGACACTTCAGTCTCACTGGTTGTCATCCTGAGTGTCTCTGAGTAGATTTCCCTGAAATAGCAGGATTCCAAGAGTGGTAGCCTCCTTGTTATGCAATAAAAAAACAAGCTTAAAGGTAAGAAGAAAACATAATTAATTTGCATGCCATAAGTATACAAAAATAAGCAGCCAATTTTACTTTATTTTTCTTTATTGTTTTATTTACCTATATCTTGAGTGTGTTCTGAAAAATAATTCATAAGTTCAAAGATATCTGTTATGTTGAGAAACAAATGATGGCAAATTGTGGAACAGGTTAGTAGATGGTGATTCATTGATATCTTTTTGATAATAAGGCTTGTACTTAACTGCCTGCTCCCACAGAATTGCTGATCTTCAGTCTTTCAACAGAGTACAAGCAGCTAGAAAAATGGATTAAAAATAGGATGTGAGGACAAAGTGCCTCACCAATGCTTATGTTGACTTCAGTGGAATTCAATCAATTAAGAGGTTTTGATTGAGAAAAACAAAGTTCAGTGAAGGAAAGTAGTGTTCAAAAGGCAGGTCTGGGGGGCATAGTTCCTGAATAGGGATAAAAGTATGGATCAGGTAAATGAATTTAAAATGTGGGGCTTACAGGTAAAGTGTACACCACAGATGAACTGGAAAATTGAAACATTGCTGAGCTGATTTCCACGTTACTGAGCACAACAGGATTTTAACCAGCATCAGATGTAATTTGACAGAGCTTGTGGTTCCTTGCAGCCCAACAGCTTCTGTGTTTTCATACTTGTAGAACTGTGAAACCATTTTTGTAGTAACATCTAAAGTAGATTTCAAGATAAGTTTTATCAGTATGGTTCCTTTACATTTGTTTGGTCTAAGCTAAATGCAGACTTTGCTTTAAAAATGTGTTAATCTTCAGTGCCAGTAAAACACTTCAGTATTGTGAGTTCTGACAAAGAGAACATCTGATTAAATGAAAACCCATATTATTTACTTCTGCATGCCTTTTTCTAAATAAAATTATTCGCCTTTTCTTACGTGGAAGAAGTGGCTTTGTGATGTGCACACAAGAAAAGTTCTGTGCTGTTGTAGCAGTGGTGCTGTTTGTGTGAATGAAAGTATATGTAATACATACAATTTATAATGGAATCCAACAGGAACAGGTTGTACCATTCTCTCGGTCCGGGGACAAGAGTGTCACGAAATGGCCATCGAGGCCACATGAAGGCCAGCAGGTACAATCCCACTGCACACAGAGGTGTCAAACCTTCCCTCTGCTGTTGGTGATTTGGTTTGGTTTAATAATTAAGTGGGTGTTTTCTGATGTTCCCTTTCTAACTTATGTGTCAAACTAAAGGTAGAGACCTTTTTCTGCAGACTTAAAACTTTCCCTTCAATGACTTATTCCATATCAGCATAAGGACTGGTCATTCCAGTCTGCAAATCCAAATTCTGAACCATTGGATCTTTCTATCAAGGCTAAAGAAGTTTTGCCATGGTGGCTTTTGAACTGCCTGCCACTGTGGAGCAGTGCTGGTAGTTCTCATGGGGAAACAGAGCTGCTCCTGGTGCTAATGGATGGCATTCCAGATGTTTTCTTTGCTGGCTGTTCTGTACTGAATTTCTTTGCTCCTCTTCCCTGAAATCAGAGAGTGCCTAAAATGAGTAAGACATTCAAATTGCCCCCAATTTAATATACATAGTATTTGCAAGCTGACAGAGTAACATAACTGATTATTGTGACTCCTTATGGATACACATTCTGTCTCCAGCTGTGTCACTGTAGTTGGGAAATTGCCATTGACTGTGAAGCCTCTGTCATGTTAAGAAGCAAGCATTGTCTCACTGAATTAAACCCATCTTCACATCTGTCAGTGTCCAAAATTGTCTCCATATCATCATCCTCAGTAGGTGCTGCAGTGAAAGTGTGTGTCACATTTCCAGTTTACTTTGGACATAGGATGGATGAAACAACAAATCCTGGCTTCCTTCACAATGATTTTCGGGTGCTGTTCAATCTCTGGGCCTTTCTAGAAAGCTGCTGGGTTCAGCACTTTAGTTACACGCTCTGATTGACATTCACTGAAATGATTCCTGGTGTAACTTTTCTCTGATTGGAAATGCTTTTGAAGCCAGTCAGCTTTGTAATTTTAATCAAGCTCAGTTTTCTTTCCTCAGTGCTGTACCTGGCCTTTGTTTCAGCCCATTGCTCCCCAGTCCTTCCTAGGGCAGATGATCAGTAGAGCACCAGTTGCATTAAAACACCTTACAGCTGTGGTTTGGGTTTCTACTCTTTATTCCTGCTCCCTCCCAGTCTCCCTGCTTTCAGATATTTTAAGGATTGTGCATGTTTGAGCTGTGCTTTGTTTTTGATGTGCTAATGGTTCTGGTGTTTCTAACCAAAAAATAGTCAAATCTTTGCTGCGAGGGCTGAAGGAGAGGTTTAACATGTACAGCAACTGTACCAATGTACTTCAAACATTTACTTTATTTAAATTAATTTTTCTTGTCTTTCAGTCCTGTTTTGAGTTTTAATTTTTTAATTCAGGATTACCTGCTTGGCTAATTAATTTTTCTGATCACTTTTGCTTGCGAGTGTTAATTCCACAACAGCAATTCCTTGTAACAGCCAAAGTCTTTTCCCACAATGAAGTCAAATAAATATAAAGTTGACATTTTCAAATTACAATAAAGGTATTTGCATTAGTTTTTGGTAATGGTTGGAAAATTACTTTAGGAAAAATACTTTTTCACACAACTCTTCACATGCTCCTTTCAGCTCCCTAGAATCTGAAGATTTGGCTGTTCATTTGTATCCAGGAGCAGTTACTATTCAAGGTGTTCTCAGGAGGAAGACTTTGTTGAAAGAAGGCAAAAAACCTACAGTAAGATTTTTTTTTTTAATAAATTAATTTTCTCACTTTCTTCCTTTGCCCAGTTATAAACACAGTAGAATGGCCATTGGGCAACTGGTTCAAGTGTCTGAGATCTCCTCTGCCTTGCTGATTAAGATTTAGTGTCATTGCCAGAGTTTTGATTCTTCTGTTTGGTGCATTTATTCAGTTTGTAATGCTCTACACATAATCCAGGAAGTAGAAGAGAAGAGGATGCTGCATAAAATTTTCTACAATTACTGATGACTTTAAAATGGAGAGAATCATGTTTTGTCTTCCTTAACAATTGGTAAATACCAGCAATCTATCAGTAGATGATAACCCTTAGCATTTGCATTGCAAATACTTGATGATAAATTATAAATCAAAATACATATTCAGGATGATGTGGGATACCTTATGGCAGCACCTAAGATGGAAAAGGAAAGGGACAGATGTACTCTGACTCCACAAAGTGCTCTGTAGGGATTGCAGGAAGTATAGAGCAAGATGCAGAATCTCAGATTAGAGAGGAAAGGCACATGTTCTTTCTGCTTTCTGGAGTTTTCATGCATTCATAGGCCTGCATGAGTAACAAACAGCAGCTTTGGAAACATGGCTGATGCTTGGCTGGACAGTCAGTGCTCTCATGTTCTTGCAGGATGATGTTTCCTCTTTCACAGCTCATTGTTATGAAGCATTTCACTTATCCATTTTACTTTTGGGTTTGTTTTTCTCTCCAGGTAGCATCTTGGACAAAATACTGGGTAGCACTGTGTGGAACCCATCTCTTCTACTACGCTGCAAAATCCCTGAAGGCTACAGAGAGAAAACATGTATGTAAACCAGGCATATTCCAGTATCACCTGCCAAAACTAAAATGTGATTTCCTGATGTAAACACTGAGAGTAGTTCATGCCTTGCCTGATTTCTAGTCAGCACTATCCTGTCTCCCAGTCAGTCGGTCACCTCATATGGATATACTCCAGGGAAATATCATTTACATTTGTTTGCTACACCAAGAACATCTGCTTTGCATCTGCCATGTGTCTCTGACTTTGCTGGTCTTTTAGGAAAGGAACTCTGTCATTGGTCTGTCCATTTTCAAAGCTCTGTCTTTGGATGATTTCAGTCTTGCAGCAGTTTGTCACGTTTGAAATCCAAACCAGCACTGATGAGGAAAAATTGAGCAGTCAAAAGACACAACAATTAAACATGTACTAATCTATGTGGTAAAATTAGACCATTTGATTTTTCTGTATAATCCTGTAAGCCATTAACTGCAAAGGAGTACCAAACACTTCATCTGCTCAGCAGAGAGCTGCAATGTCAGATGATGCTGGGGTTCCTTTTATTTGCTGCAACTTGATCGGAAAGAAGCTAAAATGTTTTGCTTATGTGGGGAAGGAGCAAGAGGATTTTCTGTATGAATGTTAAGATGTGTATTGTTCCTGTTTGATGTCCCTAGTTAATTGTAATGATTCTCTTAAGAAACTAGGTAAAATTTGAGATACTTGAATCTGAGTTCACTCATTACTCAGAATCATTACTTGGTTGTCTTGGTAGGTGTTTCAGGTTAATTTATGACAACTTTCATGTAGAACACTTGCTTTGCATAGAGCTTATGGAATTTTGCAAGCTGAGTGGTGCTTTTGGAATCCTTGTAAAGGGGACTTTGGTACAAAATGCTGTTTTCTTATCCTAACATTTTTATGTGCAAAGGGTGGAGATTTGAAGCTTAACATTTCTGGTTTGCAGACTCCTGGATATTTGAAGTTGCTGTGTGGAAAGTTTGTGTATAAAGTTCTCTTAATCTAAGATATTATTTCCCACTTTTTATTGGAAGTTCATTAGGAAACAGTATTCTAATACTAATTACTTTCAGAACTATTTATGTGGTTTCTTGGCCATCCACCCCTACTAGCTTTGCTTAGGTAGTATTGAAACTGATCCTACTTAATTTGTCTAGCCAATGGTTCGTTAGCCAATCCTTCTGTCTTCTGGGTGTCTTGGGAGAAGTGTGTGTTTGGATGCATTTGTTTCTGGCTTCAGTGAAAACTTTAGGGAAGGATTCCACCTCATTAAAAGGAAAGAGCAGACTTGTAAGCTATTATGACTAGAAATGCAAAGTATTAAAAAAAAAAAAAAAAAAAAGGAACCAGGAAAGATCTTGTGCTGGCATTATGTCACTCACAGCTAGTTGCCTATTTTTTCTGGAAACACTGAGAAACGGAAAAGAAATTTTTGTGGTAATGTCAGACTTTGTGTTCCTGTTACTGCTGTGATTCCTCCAGGCTTTGTGCCAAAATTGCACTTTGTTTTCTTTTATGAATAGAATGTGTATTTGTGAGTCTCCCTGGTTCACTGTTCTTTACAAAATTATGGAGGACTTTACCAGACTTGTATCTATTCATTCAGAAGCTTTTTCACTGTTCTGTGTTAGCATTTTTAAACAATCTAAATAGCATGCAGGTTTAGAGAATTTGAAAAAAAATTGCTTAGCAAGGAATTATATTGACTGGAAATTAAGTATGTTAAGTTTGCATTGTTTACATGTTTCCTTCAGAATAACAATTTCAGTAGTTTAAATAGTCTTGCCCTTTCTTTAGCAAAAGTAAATGAAGGAAAAAGGTAAACAGTCTGGTACCTGATCCTTCTGAGTCTCTGTTCCTGCAAAAGCCTTTACTTGTCTGGAAATACAGTCACATCCATTTACAATGCTCTTTCAGAGATTATTTTCTAAACCTCTTGAATTGACTTCTGATATTCCCCAAGTCACTGATATGCTGTGACACCTACAGCATCTGAACTGCTGGTGAACAGAGGCTTAAGAAGCCAAAATTTGTCTCACATGCTTGTGTGTTCGTGTTTCTTTGTCCAAGGGGAAAAAAAAAAGTGATTTCTTGTTCCAGCAAATCACTGAGGAAGTTTGCAGAGAGAGGTGAGGAGGTGTTGGAGTCCAGGATGCTTGCAGGATTTCCCATCAGGAGACTACCAGCCTCGTGGCTTGCAGATACTGAGAGAAGTTTGAGCAAGGCAATTGCCAGGAAAAGGAGGAAGAGGAGTGGTAGTTAAAGCAATGACTGCTGAAGAACATTAATTTCTTTTTAATAGTTGGCTCTATGAAGTTGGGCTGAACTGTCCAGCACAGCCTTGGATTTGGCTGTACACAGCTCATGTCTTGCTTTCAGCTTTTTAGGGCAGCAGACAGGCTCTGTTCTGTTTGTGGATGCCAAGCCTGTTGTGGAGCTCAGTCTCTGATTTGGTTTCCCAGGTGCAGTTGAGGTTTATCAATTGTGATAACTATTTTCTACAGTTTGGGTTGTCTTTTATTTAAACAAATAATTTGCAGCGTGTAGTCACAGCAAACCTCTGCTTCAGAGGTTGTTATAACACAGAGCAGGACCTTTATGTTGAAATTAGGGTAGGAAACCTGGTAACTGCTGTTGAGATAGAGGGATTGGTTGATGGATTCCAGTTCATTAAACAGGCTAATAATAGATGGTCAGTAACTTGTTCAGCTGCTCTGCCTGTGTTGTACTTCCAGCCTGGCTATTGAAGGCTTAGGTTTCCATCCCTTTCACTACAGAGTTATTGTGCAGAGCCTCATCTTTGGTTCTGGAGTCTGTGGAGATGGCTTGTCAAGGGTCATGCTTCAGTTCACGTTTGGTTGCATTTTCAGGAAAAGTTAATCAGGAGAGAATGAACTGCAGATGGTCAATCATCCCTAGATAGCTAGAGCATGAGTAAATGCTCCAAATACTGTCCAGTGATATTCCCAAGAGGTTCACTCTGCAAAATGAAGAGATCCAAGGTTAGATTTAGGCTTTGGGTTTTTTTATTTCCCAGATAAAAAGGATGATGCCATCTACTTTGAAGCAGGTCTCTTTTTCAAAGATTGATACATTGGAGATTTACCTCAGCAAAATATTCCAAGCATCTTCTGGAGCCATTTAAACATCTGTCTTTTCTGCTTCCTTTCTCAAGCCCTCTGTGACATGGAAAGGAACGCTGGCAACAAAAGACTCAGTCTGCTATATAAAGTTTCCTGGCTGGAGCTCTCATGGTAAACGTGTCTTGATTACAGGCATGCTTTTGACCATTCTGCTGCTGCAATTGCTCCAGGCAGCTTGGAATGCATCGACACTCAAAGCTCTTCCAGGCTTATAATAGCCAGCCTCTTTGGAAAATTACCTCATAAAAATCCCAGAGTAATTTCAGCAAAAGGGGCAAGAAATCCCCTCCCTTTCAGACACAGACAAGCCAGCTCTTCTCCTGCCTATGGTCAAAGGCCAAGGAGTGCATCCAGTATTGTGTGCTGCATCTCCTTAGAGGATCAGCATAAAATCAGCATTGAGTTTAAGTAGTGAACAGGTTTCTGTTATTACTGCAGTAATGGAGAATTGTCTATAAATAAGCATGTGAACTTGAGAGCCCAGAAATGTAGTACAGCACAATCGGGGAGGAATGTGTGGACAATGGTTTTATCTTGTATGCTGAAATGGAACTCACAGAGAAACCTCTGTGAAAAACTGTAGCACTTGTGCACATTTAGAAAAGGGCAACAGTAAGAATAACCACTTGAACTTAGACTTAAAATAAGCACTTTGAAAAATGTGAATACACCTGTAAAATAACTGTTTATAGTGATTGGACTGAGAGCCTTGCCAATTCCTGTGACAACATAGCATGCATGAGAGATTTTTCTGTGTTTGTAGGTGCTCGGAAAGCAACAGAGACTTTTTGTGCTTCATGCTTGAACACAAACCCTGGTTAGTTGTAAGCCTTCCATTGCATGCTATAATCAAAATTAGATTGATTTACTTGTAGGGTAGCCAACTTGGTACTTGTGGCTCAGGCACTTGCACTGAAATACCCTGAGGAAGAATGCTGTCATCCTGGGAAGGATGTTCAGCCACCGAGAAAATTATTTGAATATTACAAATCTGTAGAATCTCAACAGGAGATGTGGAGGAGGAGATTTGTTGGTTGCCAAAATGTTGGAGTGAAAAGTCTGTCCACATATTAATTCAGATTTTTTGATTCGAAGATTTACTTTTGAGCTCAGAACAACAACAACAGCAAAAATCAATTATGTGAAGCCTAGTGCCAGAGCTGTGCAGTTTTCCATGTGTATAATAAGAGTCATTCCAGTGGCCTATATTACAAAAAGCAAATAGGAACCAGGAACATTAAATTACAATGAAGCTTTCATTCCCTTCATGTTAACAAAGCAGACTTGCTGTTAGCAAGGCTCTGTGCATCAGCAGAGAATGAGCTGCCCTGGGGACTGTGTAAACATGGAATACAAATCCAGCTGAGCACAGGGATGGAAGGCTGACATGTGTTTCTAGCAGTGATGGATTGATGCTGGCAGGAAACACTTCCCTTGTGTGGAGCTTTTCATTTTATGGAGGAGCACCATGATTAACTGATGGTTTTGAGTGAAAAGAAGAGGCAAGGAGCTCTAGCAGTTTGGATTGCATGGCAGTGTCACATACTGGATACCTGTTGGGATAAGCAACTAAGATAGCAAAGCCCACTGTGTTGTTTCTATGAAGCTCTAGAAATAAGTGTAGTTCAAAAGGTACATTTTGATCTATAATCCATTAAAACTGCTTTGTGACTCAAATTTCCACCTCTGTGAAAGAGACCTATTAATGCTTTAGGGCTACTTGGAAGTTTGCATTTTGCAGGTCTCTGTTAAGTTGTGTCATCAGACTTTTGCAGTGTTGTCAGCGAGTCCATAATAAATCCTTTATATACACTTGCCTTTTTTTAAAGAACTCATGAGCTGTCTCCTTAACTTTATTCCCTTTCCTTGTCTTTCATTCTTTCAGATAAAATGCCTTAATTTTCACTTCAGACTGATATTACTTTTACTGCCTCCTCAAAGAAATTTCAGTTTCTGTTTGAGAAGGAGTTACAGCCCTCACTATAATGACATCTTATCTGATAGAGCTTTATAATTTACCTCCTCCTCTTCTGAGGCTTTGCCACATCTATCCACCTCTGAGAGTTACTTAACTTTAGTGTGTGTATACAAAGAGCCTGGACTCTTAAACTATTTTGAACTTGGTTTAAATACTTTTTCTTTCAACTACTGGTCTAACATTTGTTCATTCCAAGTTCTAATGGATTGTAAACTAGGGTTTAAAATGCAGCCAGCTGTGCAAGTCCCAGACAGATAAACTTACCTAGACAATGGCTTCACAGGGTTAAATGGGATATTAGAGAGAAATCCCTCCCTGTGAGGGTGGTAAAGCCCTGGCACAGGTTACCCAGGGCAGCTGTGGCTGCCCCATCCCAAGGCCAGACTCAGTGGGGCTTGGAGTAACCTGGTCTAGAGGAAGGTGTCCCTGTCTGTGGCAGAGGGATTGAATGAGATAATCCTTAATGTCCCTTCCAACCCAAAACATTCTGTGATTTTGTGGTGATTCTGTGACCTTCCAGGCCTTCAGTTCATCTGTGGCATAGATTAGAATAACTGACACTAGACTTGCTGTAGGATTTTATTTATAAAGCAACTGTATTCCCATGCACAGAGCATCTTATAAACTCTTACTTTGCTCACGTTACCTTCAAACTTATTACCAGTGGCTCTTTCCTTGGCTGAACCAGAGTTCCAGGATTGTAATACTAAAGCAATAGTTCTAAAATAAACAAAAGTAACTTGTTGCTTAATGTTGTGCAACTGCCTTGTGGCATTATGTGGTGAGTTGGCATGACACATTATCATGAAGAATAAAAGTATTTTAGAATTACAGATTAATTTTAATGACTTCAAGCCAAAACAATCTCAAGGATGTTTTATTGTTTCTAATAATGCAATTAAAGAGAGATCAAAATTGATGTGTTAATAAAAAGGTTGGAATGGGGATTCACAGGATAGGAGGAGGATGCATCTGATGAGGATGAGCATACACCAGAATTGGACTTTGTGGGCAGAGAAGTTGGGTAAAGCACTGCAGAGAGTGAGAGTGCAGGGATTGATGGAAGAGTCTCTTTTGGTCCCAAGAACATAGGAAGAGGAGACCTGGCAGCCAAAGACATGAGAGAAACTGAATTAATTAGGAGCTGAGGCATGGATGGGACTGCCTGAGCGAGCAAGGAGAAGTGAATTGGGTGGGTCTGCTAAAAGGTAAAAACAAGGTCAGGGAGAAAGGAAGCTTATGGTTTGGAGATAAGTTGGATTGAATAGGTGAGTAGAGCCTGGAACTGGTGAGTAGAGCCTGTCAATCTGTGAATACCACCTGGAACAGGAGAACACCATCATTTTGAACATCTTGTTGATAAATGAGCATGACTGCCCATTTCTGGGCACTTGTTGATTGAATTTACATCCTCACTTGATTCATTTAATTCATCAGGTCATCATATTTAATTACACAGTTGTGTTATCTTGTCCCCAGGACTCATGCTATGGGTAATTACAGAGTGTTATAATAATTACTGCATGCTAACTGTGAATAGTTACAGCACAGGCAAGTTCAATTCTATTTGTGAACAGTGGAGGGAATAGTTTTGCATTTATTAGTATACTTTAGAACTATGCATTCAAATGTGAACTAATGTGGTGAGGAATGCTGCTGTGATCATGCAGTGCATATTATATGTCTAACTAGCTTTTGCAGATTGTGATATTCATTTTAATTTGTTTTGAATATATTGTCTTAAGTTCTGTTTGCACTAATTTCATATAACCTTTGTTAATTTTCTTAATCGTGTGAAGTGCTCTGCTTCATTTGAAGTTACCCCATGTTTAACAGTGCCACTGGGAGGAACTGTCCTGCTGGGTACTTGTTCTGGGCAGATCTGGCCTCTTGTTTTAATTCCATTTTCATCCCTGCTTGTGTTTCCAGTTCAAATCCACGCCCAGTAAGAGTGTCTCAGTGGTGGGCTGGATGGTGATGATGGCAGATGACCCTGAGCATCCAGATCTCTTCTTATTGACTGATTCTGAGAAGGGTAAGCAGTGCACAGAATATACGTTTTCTTTGCTGAGGTCATTTGTCAGCAACTAAACCAGCAGGTGAAAGGTGACATCCTTCCAGTTTCAGCTGCTCTCCAGCACATCACCTTTAGAATGCCATGGGAGCAACAACCCACGGAGAATCTTTACAGTCTTCCTTGAGTTGTAAGAACTCTCCAAACTCTTAGCAACCCCAGATGTGACTTGAATTGGAAGTATTCATCTGTATTCTTTTAAAATATGTTTAGAACACTTTGAGGCATTTTCACATGCGTGAAATCTAAATAACAATTTTAAAAAAAGATTCAGCTGAGACTAGCTGCTTGAGCAGTCCCTTCTCTCCAACTGAAAACCAAAACCCAAACCATGTGTTCAAATGTGGTGCTATTACCAGGAAAAGCCCCTCAGAGATCTTGACTGTTATGTGAAGAAGCCTGTGGATGTCCATTACTCCAACACAGTGCCTGCTTTCAGCTGAAACTCTGAAGAAAATGTTAGTTTTCCATAACACTTCAAATTGTGCAGAAAGAACATTATTAGAAGCTCTGATAAAGGAGCTTAAAGTTATTTATTGCTTTGTCTGCTTCAAGTCTTAGTACGTTTTATTTCCAAACATCTCTCCTAGCACCACTGATATGAAGTATAAATTGTGAGTGCTTGTCAGCTTAAATTCTGCAACAGCAATCTGAAATGTTTTTGTAACACGTGACCTTCCTGAACCCAAACAAGCACTGTGTAACTCCAGCCACTGAAAATACTGGTCTGAAATGTATCAATACATTTAGGAGTGATTTGAAAATATTTTAAAATGTAGCTTTCCAAGGTGCATTTCAGTGATACCTTGCACTTTGTTAAAAAATCATGATATTGTAAACCAATTGCAGTAATGGCAGTGAACAAAACCACTTTTGTTTTGAAGGATATTTTGTTCTTTCCTAGTTGACACAGGCATTAGTTGAAATCTAGAATGCTGGAAAGGAAGAGGCAAGCTGAAACTTCTCTTCAACAGGTCAAGCAATTCCAGACAAGGTGTAAAGTTATATGGACCATCTATTAGTAAATCTTCTCATAATATTTCAATTTAGAGGTACTTGAATATGAGTAGAATTTAAGTGTTTAAAAAGGAGCACTCTTTATGTTGCTTCATCAGTTCTTTTTTTTTTTTTTTTTGTCTTTCTTAGGAAATTCATATAAATTTCAAGCTGGAAACAGAATGAATGCAATGCTCTGGTTTAAACACCTGAGTGCTGCCTGCCAAAGCAACAGACAACAGGTGAGAGCAAGGCAGGGAAAAAGGAATGAGGTTTTAGGAGCTCAGAGCTGATGGATCTTCGAGCTGACCCAGCTGTCACTGAGGGCTCTGTGTGCTCCCTGAGCAGCCTCTCCACCCCTTTCACATGCTGGTGGATCTGCCTTGGCTTTTCTGTTTGACCCTTTGCAAGCAAGGCCTCAGAGCTTCTGAAGTAATGAAGAAAATTTTGGGGCTACCTTGAGACTAATTGAAAGCAATTGGGGAAAGGCAAGGAATGCTCTAAAATATCTGAGTGCAGTATTTTTGTCTTGCCCGTTTGAAGAAGGTTATTGCACAATTATATAAAAAGCTGTAAACTGCTGCATTCAGTATCAATTCCAGATAACTCTCCTGAAGTGCCTTTTTTCAGGCCATGGGCATACATATTTTCTGCTATGTATGTATTTTGTATTCCTAAAATGTACAGAAAATAGTTTAGCCCTTGGTACATTTTCCTGTCTTTGAAAGCAAAAGTAGCATTTTTAATTAATCAAAAAGGAAGATAAGACTCCAACCCCTATTAAATGCAGTTCTCATATAAATTCTTACTGACCTTTTTCATAAGCAAAATCCTTTTTCAGTTACTTTGTCTCCCTGAACTCTTCCTTTGCACATTTGTTTATGGAGTTCCCAGATCAGAAATCCTACTGAATTTCAAGGGGAAACAAAAAGGCTTTTCCTGATCCTTCTGTGCTTTAATATTCAATTCTGCCTCAGAGAGATCTTAAGAAGCAAGGAGGGTTGCAGAAGTTCCTGTGAAGGTATTTGAGACAGTGCAAAAGAGAGAAATTGTGTTCCTGGCTGGAGAAAGTGGGGATAGTAGCAAATAGTGGCAAAGAGTTTGCAAGTAAGTGGTGAGAAACTGTCCTCTAAAGACAGTTCTAGTTCAGTAAGGGTTGGCAATACTGTTTATTACTGTTAACAGTGGAACTGCCTTAGAAAAACTGGGTGTTTACATGTGTTTTCAATGGAATATAAACACCTAGCTGTTTAATAGTAATAGTTGAATAATAGTAAGAACTATTTTAATAGATACTATTTGTGATTTTAATGGCAGCTTTAGCCCAGTTGAGCATTCTTGCATCTACAGGTAAATGCTAAACGCAGAGCAGAAATTCTTGATTCATATCTGACCAAACTGACTGTTTATTGACAGTTGTTAGGAATGTGGTGGCTCTTTAATAACCTGACTAAAAGAGAGATGTTGGTGTCAGACAGATTCCTGATGGAGAGAAAATGGGGATATAAACTAATACATTGCAAACATTAGCTTTAATCTTCATGAATGGGAGTGATATCTGCAACAGACATTTGGGTTTGCTATGGGGAAAACCCAAACAAGTGTTTATGTCTCATGTTTTTAAAATTAATCTGAAAAAGACTACATCAATCACTGATCTGTGAAGAATTTTCTAGCTGGGGCTCAGGTGAGAGGGTTCTCCTTGTCTAGCAGAGCTGAGATTTATCATGTTAAGGTTGTTTTGATGACAACTTAAGTCTTAAATTTCATCAAAACTAGCAAGTTCTACACCATAAAAGAAAATTATAAGAAAATTATAAGCCTCACAGCAGTTTAATATTTTTATTATACCTGGGGTTTCTGCAGCTCTAAGTGTATTTTTCCTGCTGGATGATAGTTGCATTCTATCTCCCTTTTTTTGAAGACAGAGTGAGTGCACTTCAGCAAGGTTCACTAGTCTGTGAAACAGTTGAATGCAAGTAGCTGTTACCTGAAGTAAATTCTTCTATCATTTATATTTTTTTTTCAGGTTCCTGCCAACTTGATGACCTTTGAATAACAGGCAAATTCAAAACAATAAAAAAGGACAATTTGAGCCATCTCATAATTGAGAAACAAGGTCCTAATGAAAAATGTGCCAGCTGTATTCTGTGCCACAACAGAACCTGTCAACTCGATCTCTGAACTCTGGAGCCCTGAACAAAACCACTAAAGGTTGGGGAGTGGAGTCTCCCAAATTAAAAATGGAGTTGCAACATGAATTGCCATGGACCATGCTTCATTATGTTCTGAGAACTGACCTGTGGAAACCACTGCCTTAAAGAGTGAAAGGAAAAACAACATGAAACACCAAATAGTGTGTGTGAAACTTCTGGCGGTGCTGTGCTTGAGTTAAATAGATTGTAGCTAGTTTTGAGTTTCTTTTAACTTTATACTAATTTTGAAAATAACTCACCTTTTTAGGCATTCTTAAGAAAACAGGTAAACTGGTATTTAAGAGTTGTATCAAAAGCTGTGTATGAACCAGGTAAAAGGTACTACATGTTCTGGAGATGTTGTTTAGGCCATCCCAGGAGTCCTGGAGGGAAGCTTGTCCCAGGCACACGGCCTGGAGCAGTGTTATTTCTCTCAGACCTGTAAGAAATGTAACACAAGTGCAAGTTCAGAGCAGCACTGAGCTTGCAAACCTTGGTCCTGTATGGGAGCCAGACTCCGAGAGTGGCACAGAGGCTGAGCCAAAAATCACTTTGGTACGTTTAGCCCTAATTTCTGGTTAAAACCACGAGTTTTGGGCAGTCGGGGGGGGTGTGTGTACGAGACAAAACTGAAAGCACTGTTGGGTCAGAACTGAGTGTTTTCATCCCATGTGTTTCTATGCCTGTGGCTCTCCTGCACAGAAAGGCTGAATGACAAAACACCAACACCTGGGTACAGCTCACTGAGATGTTTGACTTTGGGTATCTGCTAATTATCAGTTAGGGACCACTGATTAGTGTGTGGTGTTTCATAATATCACTTCAGATGGACATTTTAAAAAGATAGAGGCACAATTTCAAGCTTTCATGTTCTCATTTGGCAATAATTGATTTTAGTATCTGTCTCAGTCGAAGTAGTTGACGTTGTGTGGTGTTGATAACATGGCCTAAAGAAGCCCTTACATACAGAAGCTCTTTTGATCTTCAGGCAATTAACTAATTTATTAGAAGGTAGGATAACCTAAGGAGAGAAAAGGTGTGGGGCCATCAAAATTCCATCCTTGACAGGAATCATTCTTGGTCACTGAAATTACTCACAGAGAAAAACATAATGGTTGTAAAAAGGGAGCTGTGCTTTTTGTGTGTGTTTGATGCTTAAGACTTTGATTCTTGCTTTATTGGGGTTTCCTTGACGTCACCTAGTTTCCTGAATGATTGGTCTTTCTTTAATCTTCAAAAATATGATCTTTGTAAAGCAAGGAAACATTGTCCAAACTATGACTCTGATATTGGAACTTTGAAGTCTGTGAAAAAGTAGTAACTGTTCCATTGACATTGTGGTTTAGTGACCGTAAATATGCTTGCAGATTCCACCATGAATTCTCCTTTTTAAACAGAAACAAGCTACCTACCAGTCTGTTTCAGAGTTCTCTGACTATCTAATAAAGGTTTCTACTAGTAGTTGTTATTTTGAAAATGTATAGTTTGTTTATTGCATCTGAGTAGAAGCCTGTCAATTCACATTTGTGGGGTTTTTTTTCCAGAGTCAAATTAATCGTGTAATGGAAATGATTAATTTTTGATTTCTGGCCAGCAAAAATAAGGATAATCCAGTCTCACAGTAAACAAAACAAAACACAAAAACCCCAAGCACTTGGTGAAGTAAAGGGTAATAGGGTGGTTTATGTTTCCAAGAATTGTTCTGAATTGGCTCTTGGTAGAAAGAAAAACAGTAGAAGGATGCTTCTGTTGGAATTACACCACAAGGACTTTGGGAATTTGGCTCCCCTTGCTGATCTTTTGTTGCTGTTTTGTGTATGGGGACTGAATAGTCTGTTCTGAAGTCAAGAATTTTGGGAAGGGGTTTCTTGTGCTGAATCCCTCTGCAATTCACACATCTGCCAGGTTTACCCACTTTGGGTCTATAGTAAAGACAACATCCTGACAGCCAGCAGTGTTACTTTAGTAGACTTTGCACAACTTGAGTTTGGTTTTTTTTCTGTTCTAAACTTACCTAATGTGTGTTTCTTCAATGATTTAAGTGTTTGTTTGGTTTTTTTTTAACAATTTGTGTTCTTTTTTTTAAGCATTGTGGATAATAGCCTGTGGATTTTGAATTTTTAAATAAGCTATTCTAGGTTCATTGCAGCATAACTGTGTCTGTTCTTTTGTTAGTGAAAAGAAACATGCAACTGGGAGCCACAGCCTGACAGCCTCAGCTTTGCTAAGGACAGAGCCAGGTCAGGACATGTCATTTATTACTGGATTTTTGCATTTTTTCAGCTGTTTTGAGTTAGGTTTTTATGGTAGGAGGATGGTGGAGAAAAGAATTCACAAATCATCCTTTAATGAATTGCTGTTACCAGCTTTCATTGTCCTTGCACCTCCTACTCTTCCTTGTTTACTGCCCTCACATCTGCTGGGTTTTTGTGGGAGAGATTGAATATTGTGGGAGGAGTTTCTTTAAATGTGTAGCCAGAATAACTGGAGTGAGTAATGACAACACAGGAAGTATTTTTGGCACTTGTCACACTGAGTAGTTCAGTACTTTCCCTTTGTTTATGGCCACGTAGTCCTGGAGGGCAACACAAACACTGACATTTCTAGAGCCTGAGAAAAATGGTGCTCAGAAAGAGCTGCTGGGTTTGTTCCCCCAGGGAAAGCTGCCTCAGCTAAGCTGTGGAAAGACTCAGACAAGTTAAATGACACACTGTAAAGAATGTATTAATGCTCTTGTTTTTTTAAAAAAAGGAGTTAAAAAAGTTAAATAACTGAAAGTATTGCTGAGGAAACAAGGAGAGCAGCGAGCTCATGGTATTCAGGTAAGGCTGCCATCCAGACTGCTTCAGACAGTTGGCAGTTTCTCTTTGATTTTCTCTTCTAATGTCTTGCTCTAATTGTTTATCTTGTTAATAAGTGCTGAATCACTTCAGCTAATATTTGTCACTTTATCCCTTAATGTTTTGATTTTGAAGCTAAAGATGCCCCTTGCAATTCCTTGTTTTGGTTGCATTTGAGCAAAAATTTTTTAGAGTAGTTCTTCTAGCAAGACTTCAAATATCATATTAATTATCTGCTGACTGATAACCAGCCTTTTAGCTAAACTAAAAGTTTTGGGAAAGATTAAGCAACAGGAAATATCTGGTTTATGAAATTGGTGCATTGCATTAAAAATATGTAACACTGCACTGCTTAGTGTTAACTTTTATCTAATTAATCTCTGCTACTTTTGGCTAGGTTTTCAAACCTAATTTCTATTCCAGTGCCCTTTAAAGCAAATAGTTTTTATAACTTTTATTGTTAAAACATTTTGGTAATTTGAATAAACATAGCTCAGACACTTTCTCATTTTTAGATGTCTGTTTTATGCCAGAGGAGTATTACTCAAGCTGTTATGATTCGTTAAGTATTTAGGTGCACATTATAGGCATTAAAACTACAAATACTAAATGAGTCACCTAAATACTTAATGAATGAGTTTTAGCACCCTGCTTTAAAATCATGTTTAGAGAAGCATGCACATTGGAAAACATATTGGAAACAAAAGGAACCATAAAAAACATAGCAGGGTTTTATTAGTTATCTACTCCTCACTAGGAATAAATTAATCAAATTTAATGCTTCTTGCAACATCAGCCTCCTGTATTTGCATTTCTGTATTTTCAACACCAGTCCTCCTCTATTGGTATCAGACATAACACATGGTGACAGCAAATCTCTCTCTCCCAGCAGAAGCAGTTGCAGGTTTTTGTGCTGCTGGGGCACATGAGAAGCAGAGGTCTCTTTTGACAAAAGGCAAGTTGATCTTACGGTGTTGATTAACAAATCTTGTCCAAATGAAGGTAAAAAACACAGGATGCTTTTTCTTCTGGCTCTGTCAGTGGCCTTTTTCTTCAATACTTGTCCTTTACAATTTTTTGGTATCCTAACTCACCAAAACTTGTAGTTCCAGCCTTATTCATGGCCAGCTCTTAGTGCTGCCTGCTGCAGCATCAAAACCCCAAGACTGGTACTAAACCACACCAGTGAATTGTCTGTTCATCCTACAAGGAAACAGCTGTGAAAGTTTTGTTATTATTCTTTAATATTAGCCTTTTCCTTTAATTTTTTCTCTAAAAACAGCTTGTTCATAAGGTGGTTTGGCTTGGGAAAGTTGCCATCAAAAGGATCTGTACGAGTGGACATGGAATTCTTTGCTAGAGGTTATCCCTTCTTTTTAAAACCACCACTCTGGTTTGTAATGCATGAAGAGGGTGAGTGCTTGGACTGGAGCAGGACTTCTGTCAGTGCCTTATTATGACCCTGAAGACCAATTCCTTTATTTCAGTGGTGAGTCCCACCATGGCAGACTTACAGGCTGTGTCCTCCATGTTCCAAAGGGTGACATTCCTGACAGCCACTGCATTTCTGCAGCAGTCACTTGTTTTGGTCAGTGTAAAATAGCTGTGGCTTGAGTTGCTTTAGCATTATTTCTGTATTTGAATAGCCTCTTTTTAGGAAAAAATACAGAGCTTGGTAGTTTGGGCTTTTTCAGTTTTTTATCAGAAGTAGCTCAGACCTCTTAAAAATTAACTTATTTTTATTTTAGTATGTCTCTTGAGTAGATTTAGTGAGGGGGAGAAATGAAGAGCATAGTCAAAGTCATGGTCTAGACCACATGAGCTCAGGAGCTCACATTATTAGAAAGGAGCTTGCTTTTGTCTGTCCCACTTTGATGTAAACACTGAGGAGCATTCTTAGGTGACAATTTCTCTTGCAAGCTTTTTCTTATAAACACCACAGGGAAAAACTGTTTGGAGAAAGAGGAGGCTTGGCTAAATCTTAGTATTAATATCCCAAAAGCTCAGTTTTGTGTGTTGTATTTCTAGTGCCACCACTGTGTAGGGAGCACTGTCCTTCACTGAAACAACTGCTAGAGACTGTTTTAGCAGCAAAGGCTTTAGAAGCTTTGGAAGGGGAAGTGAAAGAAAGAATGTGTTGTTCTTAAGCAAGTAAATATTTGTTTTCCTGGTATTCATCCTTATAAAAACACAGCAGTTTTACTGTAGTCTTTTTTATAAATTCAGATGTTGGAAGGCTAATTTGAAAATTAATCTTACTCTTTCTAAGAACACTCAAAGAGAGCAGAAAGGTCAGAAGAGAAAATACAAATTACTTGGTGTAGCTCTGGCTGTTGCAGAGCTGAGCTGACAAGTTTTCTCCAAGTTACTGAGTTGCTAAGGAAAAGAAGGTGTATAAAATGTAATGAAATGCAAGTTCCTGAAGATCATGGCACAGTTCTGGCTGGAGGCCTGGTCTTGCTCTTGAGTGACTAAAACCACCATAAATACTCTGTTTCCTTTGTGTGTTTGATTTTTATTATTTCTCTTGATTTGGGTGGGTTCTGGCCTTCATGTGTGTTTGCTGAAGTAATTTCTTACCATTCCAAAGCTGTTCACAGCTGAAACTGCAAAGCAGACAAGCAGTATAAATCAATTCAACGTTGAAATAAAGGATTCTGGGGTGCCTGGTTTACTGGCACTTATGGCTCCTTGTGTGCAGGAGTGTATCCATTCAAAAACTACTGAACTGGAGTGGGAAAAGCACGAGGAAACATAGATGTGTTTTATAATAATCCTGTAAGGACCAACCATCACTGGAAGGGGGATCAAGGTGTCATGCAGTAAACACAAGCCATTTTTAATGTTCCCTGCTGGTGTGAGGCATTCCAGGGATGGAGGGATTGCACTATGATCTCTGTGAGTGATGTGCAGTTTGGCTGTCCTCGAGCCTCTTCCTTCACCTTTTTTAATACTTTGTTCTGTGTGTGTGTGTGAAAATTGTGTGTTTGCATAAGCTAGTTTAACTGAATTTAAGAACAGGTTTCAAAAATCTTTCCTACTGAAATAAATGATTTAAAACATGGTCTGTGTCTGGAGTTTTAATTTCTCATTTAAAAAACTGCATCCAAACTCCAGCTAGGTTTTGCAACGTGGAATTTGTCTGTCTTTGGAATGGTGCTGAGATCAGCTGGAATTTTAGTGGCATTTTTCAATGAACCTTTGAAATGAAGCATGTAAAGATACCATTGTCCACTGGTGCAAAAGAAATCTAAAGACTAGCAGGGAAGTACAGTCCATTGAAGAGATGTATGTCTGGTCTCAGAGATTGTTCTGTTAAATGATGTGGTTTTTCTCTCCTTGGTAGTTTATCTGATTTTTTTTTTCTGTTGTTTCTATACTTAAAGCTGTGGTAAATTTAAACTCACTGAAAGCAGTCATCAGGCAGATTGGCTCTTGAGGAGCAACTACATGGAAGATAAATTGAAAATGAAGAATGAATGAATAGCATGCAAAGCCTTGTATTTCCTTAGCTCTTTGTTTGGTGTTGCTTCCTTACTCTCTGTGCCTTTGTAATGCTGTGAAGCCTTACTGATCATACAGCCCTGGGGGAAATGCTGTGGGGTCAGGCTGTGAACTGCTTGTCAGAATATGAGCCTTGGGCTCCTTCACCTTTTCTCCTTAATGGAAACATTCATTTCAAATGTATTTACAAAGAGAGAAGGAATAAAGTAGATTTTTTTAACCCTCTCCTTATTTCCAGATTACTGAGTTTGAGAAATGCTTTGTGCTCAATAGTGTGAAAAGAAACACAAAATTAATGAGCTGGTGACCTCTCTCCTCTCCTCTCCTCTCCTCTCCTCTCCTCTCCTCTCCTCTCCTCTCCTCTCCTCTCCTCGCCTCTCCCCCTTTTGAAAGATGTTCATTTCATAGCAAACATTTTCAGATAAGCTGCTTTATTAACTCAAAAGCTGACTCCACACTCTGCAAGGTGGGAGACACAGAGTAAAGCAGTTTTTTGTTTGGATCCTTCTTGGAAAAGACTTTCTCCTTCCCCGTTTGGACTGCCTCTCTGTCCACAGCAAAGATTCCAAGTCAGGCTCTGTCTTCATCTTTGACTTTGTCAGGCTGGTTCTTCCTTGCCTTTAGATACTGGAAGGCTGTAGCAGTTCTGCAGAGCCTGATAGAAGTGGCTGCAGTGAGAGTCTTTGGTGTATTTTTTAATTTTATCTTTTTTCCAAGTCAAGGAGCATGTCAAGGACTCCTTTTGCCCCTTTCCTTATGTTCTTGCCTCTCGGGCTGCTGTTTACATTTGGAGGTGGCCTCCAAATCCACAGAGTGAGAAGAGAGGTGGGGGAAAGGCACCTGATCCCTTCCTTGCTTCCCAGCTGGAATGATTTTCATTCTGGATATACTTCTGCTCTCTTTCCCCAGGTGTGTATGCTGAATCCACCAAGGGAATATTCTTTGTGAAACTCTTAAGATTTGAAAGAATTGAAATTGCCTTGGTTTTGTAATTTCATCTTCAGTTTGCCTTTTTTTCTTTTGCATGGGAAGAAACCACAGTGCTGGGGGAGGGATTCACATCTGTGGGAAAAACAGAGAAACCAGACCACAGATGAATGAAATAACCCAGCTGGAAGAAGATGATCTTTTCCCCCTTTTTTTAGTATTAGTTTTTGTAAGTGAGAATGTTAGGTAACAAAAATGTGAGCAGAAGACAGCCAGATGTAAACAGATGATACTGTTTTGGCATAGCCTACATGCTTTGACAGAACAGAGCAGGGTTATGGTTTTTATGTCAACAAATAAATTGAATACAGAAGATTGAATCCATGCTTCTAACTTGTGAGTAATATTTTTCTTAGTTTTATTAGGTTTTTGCTTTAATTGAGCATTAATACTGAAACATACAT